GGGAGAGGAGAGATAATTAAAATAGTCATGAATGAAATAAGAATGTTAAGAGAAGTATAATTATACATGTTACTTTGCCATTTCATTGTGTAACATTTCATTAAACTAGTTTTCCTTCCAGATCTCTGGAAGGAACCAGAATTTGAATAAAAGCTCCTGTTTAGATGCAGTACAGATGAAAAAAATTGTGTGTCCTGGGAGCTGCTATTGTAAAAACAAATTTCTTTCTTTTAAATTTCTAGTTTCTAGCGAAAAATGTTTGTAAAAGATTGGCCTCGCGTTAGATTCTAGAGCTAAAAGTTTTCAACAAGGTCGTTTTAGACCTCAGTTTCAAACTAATTAACTCTGGCGGGAAGTATGTAAGGATCTTAAGTTTTACTAACGTTTATTTTATTTTAAATCTTTACTATCACTTCTTATTTTCTACTTCCGGCCAGAATTATAAGCGTTAAAGGTATTTATGCAAAGTTTGTCTGGCGAACGCCAAGTATTTAAGTTGTGGCTTTTTGCCAAGCGAGAGAGAGGAAGTAGTTAGTCGAAGCAGGCCGCTTACCTTAGAAGTTTTACGCAGTTGCTGGTTGCCTTCCAGGCCAGAGGTTTTAATCCTCTTGATAATTTTTAAACGTATTGTAGTGTTCACAGTTCTCTGTACTACATACGGCTTCCTGTTAATATAAGGCCAATCTTCCACGTTTATTATTTTAAAGTTAAATTAGAGTTTAGTTTTATTTTTATATTTTTACGTTAGACCACAAGTAGCGGGTCTGTGTATTCCGAAGTACGGAAGTTATTGTAAATAGAGAAAAATAAAGGGTTTTGTATACCCTTCTTGTGTATCCTGTCTACTTCCCACAATTTTGAACATAGCTTTAGTAAGCTCTCTGGTCCGAGTCAGGTCCTTGCATGTTCCCGAAGAAGGTAAGACGGAATATTGAACCTGATAATGTAAATGTTTGCAGAAATTATTAGCTAAATTAAAAAAAAAAGCTTAGCATGAAATCTATTATAACAACATTACTATGCGTTTGGATCACTGACGTATAAATTGTAAATAAATTTAAATTGTTATGCTAAGAAGTTTTTCTAAAATTTATCTAGAAGAAAAGAATTAGATAAACAGTACTGCAAATTAATATAATCTATCAGGCCTGTCAATAAATAAAAGCTTATTTTTTTAACCAAAAACTAAAAATTAGGATGCAAAAGTTTGTATAATATACTTGGAAATATCTGAACATATAATAATTAGAAACATACAATTAAATTTATAACAAGCTAATTAACAGTAACATTAAGCTTAATTTCACTCAATCTAAAACAAGCAATCGGTCAGGAGGTCCGCATAACTGAAGTTTTAATGCTATTTTACGTAGATTTGCATATAAAATAAAAGTTGCACTTGTGAAACAAGTGAATAATGTACTGATAGTCAACAGGAATTAAAATACAGTGTTTAAAAATATAACTACTTGTCAGAAGATATGTAGAGTTGCCATGGCTAGAGAAATTGAATGATTATAGAAAACTCATGAAGTTAAGCGCTACAGTGTGAAAAGAAAATTCTGGAATAAAAATGTTAAGAAAATTAGATGGAGAAATAATCCTTAAGTTATTGATATCCATATAAATTCTATGCTTTTGGAAAAATGTTACATATAATTTGCACCGAAGTATCAATCACCGAAGCTTAGTTAATTTCTTTCCTTATTTTTTCTTATTAGAGGGATTTGTAAAAAGATATGCTAAGGTAAAAGTGAAAATTTTTGCAATATTTTTAAAGAATAAATTAAAAAAAGTATTTTACTTCATGAACTGAAATTTTTACGCTACATTTTTATACAGTAAATATGTACAAAAAAGAAAGAACTGGGGGATTACTGGGACTAGAAACTCGGGTCGAACTACCAATGTTTAGTGACTTTTCCACAAGACCTTTTGAAATTAGGCTGAACAATATATTAAAGAAAATAGAAGATACAGCACACGTAAGAACAAAAGTGGGCTGAATTAGAAATTTACATGTTTGGTGAATGAGTTAAACTTACCTGTATGCCATTATGAAATATTAGGAATGTAGCATAAAAGCATGAGTGAAGAAGGCAATGGCAATCTAAATCATTGTAATCTAAATGTATATCATTATCAGTATCTGCTATTAATTTCAATACTGCTGGAAAAATTATAAATGAATTATATTATAAATCACAGGAATCATTGCATTATAAATTACAGAGGTTAGAAACATTATTAGAGTGATTTAGCGACCATCTTTGTTAACAAATAATTTCAAGTAATTAATTTTACAAATAATTCAGCCTGAAACTAGGTTGGAAAATAAGCTACATGCTGAAGATTAAGCTTTGCCAAGATGTTAGAAACATCTTCTGTTAACTAGAGTTGTGATGCAAGAATTTATAATTATCATTTAAATATAAATTGGCATAAATACAATACAAAGTATATAAATTCTACATACATGAAAACTTGAGTATAGTGCAACGATATGTGAAAAACGAATGAATTAAAAGGGAACTGAAAATCCCAGGATATGAATATAAGGGAGTTTATTTTTTTTGTTAATTATGAAAATTCTGCTGACGCTCATAATTATTAATTTATTAATAATTATGAGCGTCAGCAGAATTTTCCAGGATCCCAGGATATGAATATAAGGAAGTTTATTTATTTTATTTATTTTTTTGTTAATTATGAAAATTCTGCTGACGCTCATAATTATTAATTTATTAATTAAATGTGTATTAGAAATTAAATGTATGCCAAAGTACATCAGGTGAAAAACAGAATAAATATTTAAACGTTTCTAGTATTAGAATATGGAATTTGTGACAAAGTTAAATAACCTTAATATAACTTCAATGATTAAAAATAGAAAGCTTAATACGGAAATATATTGCAATAATATTAGTGTGAATTTAGAACGACTTAAGAAGTCCAATTTTTAGATTTAATACAGGTAATTTTCATAATTAAATTAGAACTGTTTACCTAAAAGGGTAAATTTGAAAGTTAAAACCATTCTGCTATCTAAGAAGATTTGTTAATATTTATCTAGACAAGAAACTTATTTAAGGTGAGCTACAAATCCGATATTTGATACATTGATTATGTATCACTTTTGTATATGTCAGTAATCTATCAATTTTACTATTCAAAACTGATCAGCGACTAAAATCTACAACTTGGAAAGTTTTTAATTCTTACAAAGAATTAAAAAAGATCTGGCTCATCATTCCTTTAAGCATCATAAAATTTTCAAATGAGGGCAAAAGAAATTAATTTTTTAGCACACGCCAGACTTTAAATTAATATTTGTTTTTTTATGAACAATTTTTACAATATCGATAAACGAAAATAAAGGCTTGCAGTCTCAATAGAATGTCCCATTAATGGCGATAAACGACTTTTTGTAGCACCCAATCTTCTTGGAAAGAAATGGGGGACAGGAAACGTCGCGCAGTTCGTGGATTAGAAAAGAGGGGGACGGGGATTTTCGATCAAATTTGGCGCAGTTCGTACACTACCCTAGAAACATACATGTATTGCAGATTCTTCATTATTTAGTTTCTTTAAATATAATACAGGGCGATAATATTTGGTAACAACAATTTGCAAGGAGACACGGACATTTACAGTAAAACAGCGCAAAATGCCGCTTCGAAACTAACAGCCTTTCTACGCTACCGCCCCTTTGGACCAATAAATTAAATTAAGAATAAATAAAAAAACTTATGCAGAACTAAAAATAAATTTAAAAAATAATCACTATAAAATACAAGCAAAATTAATTATTACGGTTAAATAAAATTTTAATATTAGAATTAAATGTATAAAAATTTTTAAGGAGGCAAAAGTGTTTATCACTATGACGTATTATGAAATATAATTGAAATAAAATTCCTTTATAGAAATTGTGCTATAATACTCATTTATAATTTTAAAAAAGCAGCACAATTTAGAATTAAAAAAAAACTTTAAAAAATTCTTTTAAATATATTTTAGTATTTTTTACTTATTTACACCTATAAAAAGCATAAAATTTGCAAGAGAAAATTGCTTGTTTGAAATTTTCTATTAGTTCAGATTAAAAATATTATTTTCTAAAAGAAGTAGTTACAAATTTCCTTACAACGTAGGAAAAGCTAAAAAAATAGCCAGGCCTGAAAGCATGCAACAGCTTTATAATTATTTGGAAAGTTATTATGCTTGATAAATATGCTAAATTTTTAAACATCTATCTCAGTTTCAAAAATTAAAATATCTAAAAATTCTAATTTGTGAAATGAGGCGCTACAACCAGCTTTTTCTTGACAATTATACACGCTGCAATAGGCATCCACTGTTAAATTTCTGCAAATTGTCGCTACTCCTCCGGATGTGATCAAGGTGACAGCCGGGAACGTCTCAGACGAGGGAGAAAACCCATTTGGGTTAGTCTATTTCTTATAAGGTCCATGGTTCCTCTTTCGCAACTTTGTTTATGCAGAATATTCTGAGCTTTTACCTCTTCTCCATTCTGTGCTTTTTATACAAGCTTCGAAAATGGACGGACTTGCTTCATTTCGTATAGTGTTTATTGCGAGCATTTTGCTATCATTTTTTCACCCTATAAGGAATTGTACCAGGATTATTCTGCTTATTATACATTATTATATTATTTATACGTTATATTTTCATGCTACGTTTATTGCATATCTTATTAGCCTGGGATAGGGCTCCGGCCCAGGAACCCATGTTTCGCGGCCTGCGGCTACCTATGAATCTGAGCTTTTACTGAAGACGCGACAAAAAGAAACCATTTTCATGGCGTATAGTTGTCATGGAAATAATTTAGAACTTTCTTAGATTTTTATGTTGTATATAAAATTATTGGCATCAGTGAGAGGAAAGACTGTGCCGAGATTGGATCACAGCCAGTAAATAAACAGCTCCCACCCACGAACTTAGTTACCTTCTCTACTGTTTCGCAAATTCCTCTTTCGGATACATCTAGCATTTTCGACCACTAAATTTTCGTCGGATATAATGACAGAAGCGAAGTGAAGACAGTTCTCTTTTCGGTAAGTAACGGGGCGTAAAATAATTTCCAGCGGTCGTTTGTCATTGATGGATGATTGAGTTAGATTATATAGCAAAAACGTGAACAAGATGAGAATTCATTTCTCTTTGTTCATGAGACCAGACAATGTATTTCAGTGCGAAGTTTCTGCTTTTTTCGTTTTAAAGTTGAATATTTCGCCCTAAGTAATTATTTAGCTTTACTTATTCCAAATACATTTATTCATTCATATTCTTTCAGCCGTATATTTTGCACTTTTAGCATCTGAATATCAGAAAAGATAAGAAACAATTTATTTAGACTTTGAATTGTATTTGCGATAATTTAGGCTGGTGATAAAATTTTATGAAGAGAAATTTTAAGCTATTTTTATGAAGAAAAATTATATTCCATTTGGAAGAAGAAAGGAACCAAGAAGAAAATGCGATTCCATTTGGAAGCAGCGATAAGATCCTTTGCACAAAATGCAATTTCCTAAAATATAAAATAAAAAATATTAAAAAAAATCATAAAAAATTATTTAATAACTTTTACGTTATTCTCCTGAAACGATAATAATGTACAGTTAGTGAGTCAAATATTTTAAAAATAATAATATGTATAAAATATAATACTCTAAGAGACCATCGATATAATATGAACTGAATGAGGTATTATTTATGTTTCGCCTTTTTTCCCCCTTTATATTATATAACTTCACTATAATCCTTCCTACGATTGCGTACTATTGCAGAAATGTTTACCATAAATATTTCGACATTTCCAAACTTTATGCATTCATTTGTATACGTTAGAATGTTTTATGTATTCTTCCATTTTCCTGTATGTAAGAGTTTAAGCTGCTTGTTTTTCTGAGCAGAATTTAATTCATGTGATTAAAAAAAAATACGGCTAAGGTGATCAATACACAAAGCGTGTAAGAAGTTAGAATATTTTCAGCTGGAATTTTTAATCAGTTTCAACTGAAATTGCCAGGCAAAGAGTAGTGGCAATAATTACTAACACATTTTTAAAGATATTTTCTGCAGCTGGCGAGGTGTATTTAAGAAAGAGGTATAAAGATGCCTTGCTTCTCCCGAAATGATTGCTTCCAATTACATAAATTAACTATAAAGTTCATTACAGTGTGTTCCTATGGATTTTTGCATTAAGAGTGACTTTTTATTTGTTACTGGAGTCATCTGTTGTTAATGAATATATTAATTATACAAAAAAGAATTCGGGAAACAAATACTCTAAAATGTCTCATCGATGTCTTGCAGGATGTAATAGTTTGTTTTTCAAGCATACTTACTCTTAATTCAAAATATTAGCTATTTCTCCCCTTCCTGCTACCATAGGCGAAAATATTTTTGGCTTCGGTTATTATACATCACATATAAGAAATACAATGCCTGAACATCAACTAAATGGTTTGGGTTCATTATCCATTCATTAGCACATCTACGTAAATAATAAAGAAAATATAGAATCTTAATTTTTTGTAGGGGAGGAACATAATTAGCAATCAAATAATTAAAACAATAATAAATTAGCGTTATATTATATAGTCTTGAAGGTTTAGTTATCGTTGAATAATTTAAAATTTTTAAAAATAATTGGGTAAATTTGTCTAAAAATTTTCGAAGCGGGGAACATGACCTAATAGTGTGGTCACAAGATAATTTTTGTAAATTCAGAACAATTATTTTGAAGTTTTTTTTATTTCGCTTCATTAATATACGTATGCTTTTTGTGCTCTAATCTTTTTTACTTCCCGTTTTCGAGAAAATACGCTGTAGGAATATGCTCTCAAACCAGCGGCCCCAAAATAAATTTCAATTATGAGTTTGTTTTAAGGATTTCAAGATTTTAGTTATTTGAAGTCCGAATTTATATTATTTTTATTTTCATTAAAAGCAAACATGACTAACTCATGAGAAAGTTTATAAATGGAGTTAATTAATTTATAGTGTGATATAAATCTTATTCAAAGATTTGATGATAAAGATTTTATTAACTTTTATTTGCACTCGTCAAAAAAAAAAAAAAAAAAAAAAAAAAAAAAAACAAGCTCAGTTACGAATTCTCGTACAAAGAATAATGACTTTGTTTGAGAATACATTTACACATAATCAGCTTTTATTCACAGCTGAAAATTAGTAAGAAGAATCCGACTAACCAGAGAACATCTACAATCTGTGATCCGTAAAAGCTGCAAATTTCTATTCTCTCCAAGGCTGCAAATATTAGCAGCATCTAACGCCATCAAGTTTCAAACTATAGTAAAATATAAATATTTGTCATTATTTACAAATGTTTATCATCTTTTACAAACAAGCATATATATTTTTATTTATGAAGAAAAACTTCAAAGAAAAATTTAATAAATAAAAGAATGAAACAAGGTTTTTATGATTTATAACTAAGTTTTCTTCTACTCTGTCAATTTTCTGTGAAAACTGAAGTCATTCTCTGAAAGCTTTTATAACTCGTTTATTTGTGCTTTAAATTAAAGTATTTAATGTTTAATTAAATGTGTTAGAATAATTTTAAAAAATGCCAATCTAAGACTTTATCCCCCACAACACAAATCCTCAGAATGTCTCATTTAAGTCGCAATATCCCGGGACATACTTAGTATGTCCTGAGTATGTTGATTTTCAGATGTCTTGAGGACACTGTAATTTAACATCCTGAGGATGTCTTATTTAAGTCGCTATGTCCCGGGATATGAGAGGATGCCCTAAAGATGTTGATTCTCAGATGTCCTGAGGACTTTACCAGTTTCACATCCTGAGGATATTCATACTGCATTGTCCGGAGGACTTCGGTTGTCGAACATTCTGAGGATATTTGTTCTGAAGTCTACCAGTTTTAGCTTTTGACATTGCACATCTGAAACTTGCACATCATTTAATTTTCATATTTATTTTACTAAGTCGTTTCTAAATGTTAGACATAAAAAATATTGCTATTGATGAATATTGATATGATTGATGATTTATTCTTTTTATTTTGTTATTAATTGTAACTGCCATTTTGACATTTTAAAAAATTTATTTAGGCATGGGAAAGATTTGATTTTTTTATTATAGGCAATTATAGGCAAAAGCTAAGTAATATTACTTAGTCAATATATTTGAATTACAAATTGGAATCAACAAAAATATCTTACAAGTTTCAAACTATAGATTTCAGACAGAAAATAAATCTGAATTTTTTTATTGCGGTTTTATTATTATTTTTTTTGTATGTTTTAACAACTATTTAATGAGTGAAATATAAAATTTGTTTGAAATATTTTTCGTCTTGTTAGAACAAAATGTGTCTGGTCCGTCAACAGGTTTCAGACCATGCTTTCGGCCCACATGCAATTTGAGTTTGAGATCATTGCTGCAGGCCATGAATAACTGCAAAGATATTATTGGGAATCGCACACTTAATTACAACTGTATGTGTGTAAGTCGGAATACTATAAATTCAGCAAATCAAGTTACTTCACAATTTTGCAACTAATTATTTTTAATAAATTAAGAAATTTTATTTGCTAAAATTTAATTAATTGGCTAATTATGAAGCATTTAGATAGCTTCTAAAGGTATTTGCGAGCATTTAGAAATGATTTTTACTTAATTAAATAATACATTTATCACGTGAGGTATCTGTAAGATTTTGAGAGTATTTATATTTTTATAGTACGTATATTAATCAATATTTTTTAATATGTATGTTAATTAAATATTAAAGAACTCTAAATAATTTTATTCACAAATATTAATTAGCAATTTATAGCCTTTTGCTCCCGTTCTCCTAGATGAAATCTAATAACACCCCTTGCTCATGCAAACTACAGTCTTGCGCAAAATTAAGAGAATTTTCACGTTATGTCTATTTATGAAAATCTAATGGACAGATTTGATTGAATTTGGTATGAATATACATTTATAACAGAAACAGAGATGTACCATTCAAATGACATTTTATGTAAGCATTATTATCAGTAAATCTCATAATGCAGAGATGAACAAAATTCACGTTGTGATATCGAACTGAAAACGAATCTAATATGAGGTAGGCTCCTTCTCATAGCCAGACAGGTAGCGCAGCGTGACGGCACGTTGGACAGAAGACAGTTCAGGAGTTCCTGTGACGGTCGATTCCACTAATGCAGAAAGGTAATTTTGAACTCCGGTATGATACTCGCAGGAGGATCGCGAGATGAAATTGCCCTCTCAAGAATATCCCATACATGCTCTGAAGGGTTAATGTGAAGAGATCTGGCTGGCCAATCCATGCGGAGAATATCCTCACTTTCCAGGTAATTGTCAAAGATTAAGCTCAACGTGGACAAGCATTATCATCCATTAATAGAAACCCAGAGCCACCCGAGTCTCTGAAAATTCGAACTTAGGACTCTACCTGTTTCTATACTTCATAGAAGTCAGGAAACCTTTGTCAAACTCATGCAGGGGTTTGCGACCATACAACATAATGCTCGACCAAAGCCTTACACCGACGGTGTCGGTTTCCAAACTCCAAGCTCTCTCCAGATACAGGTATGCTGAGAATCAGTTTTCAAGCCGAATCCCGACTTATCTGTAAAATTCACGGTACTCCACTGTAGTTTTGTCCAAGGCGAATGTTATCTACACCATTCTAAACATGCTCTTTCGCATGCTACAGTGAGCATAACACGAACAGCAAGTCTATTGGAATACTGCCTTATAAACATTTGAGCAACTGTAGACAGTGAAACTCGACTTCCAGTGGAAGCATCTACCTCACGTAAGAGTTGTGAAGCTGTAGCAATCGTATGTCACCGTGCTGAAGGTGCTGCCAAACAAGGTCCTAATTCTTTGCTGTGGATCTTGGTCGACATTGTACAGATTTTCTCGATATGGATTAAGTGTCTTGAAACTGTTCCCATGAATTTCAGACGAAGCGGGGTATTACAATGAGCTCTGTAGCCACCTGTGCTTGTGACTGTACTGCCTTCAGTCTACCGACAATTCTTCATCTCATTCTCTCATCCATACCTTTGTGACTACTCATTTTACCTGACCCTTATAAAATTTACACTTGCGCAAAACACGGCGAATGTCGTGAATGAGTACAAGCACACGAAGAGCCTAAAACTTCTTGTGCTTTCATATCCCCTCCATAATGACAGAGCTTCGCAGACAAGCAAGGTCTAAGTTTTTGACTCTGAAAATTTTCATAATTCTTCGGGGGCATAATTAATACCTTTGATTCAATATTTTTCGTAAAAATAGACATAACTTGAATATCCTCTTAATTTTGCACGCGAGTGTGTTTCGTTTAATTTTATGCAGCCGATAACTACCATTATTAATTTAACGGCTGAACAATGAATACAGTTTGAGTTAAAACTAATTATTTTGATATGGACTTTTGAAACTGTGTGCATGACTTTAGGAGACTAAGCATTAACAGACTATGACAAATTTATGCGTTTCGTTTATAGGAATGATCGTGTGACAATCGGAAGATATTAGTGATGAATGCTGATAAGCGGTGACCGTCTTTTAGTCTCGAACAGAAGAAATACTGAAACATTTTACGAAATGGAAAAAGTAAATTCCCAAGAACAAACTAAACGAGAAAAAAAAGAGCGAATTTTGCTTGGAGAGGGGAAGAGAGGTAAGTATAAAAGTTATAGTAAATTTGCTTCTTCGCTGCTAAGGTTTAACGTCCGCGCACTTTCTCCGCAGATTATAACACTTACGAATTTTATAGGTCCAATTTCTATGGAACAATCATTATCCTTTTCTATACTATTTCATTTGCATAAAATAAGTATTTGGTGCTTACTTTTAGCTTGGCAGTGCCACGGCTTAGAGATCAGAACAGAGATTCAACTGATGTTTTTAAAGGCATATACATTTTGAAATAAGGCTCATATATACGTTTGTTTATAGATACAAGCATTAGAAGGAAAGTTATTCATATTATAAAGTTTGATCATCATGACAGAAATACATTCCTTTGCAACTACTAAACTCTAAACAAGAATTTAGGGAGAAATTACTAATTGGTGGCTTCTTAGGAAAATGCCCGAGGTAAAGGATATATTTCTAACTGCTGTATTGACATTCGGCTGTTACTCATGAGAAGTATTTTTTTAAAAAAATTCTAATAGTATAAGAGGCGCTAAACTTCTACGCAGCCTCGTATAGGTTAATATCACTAATAGGTATTAATATAATTCGGTAGCACCTTTTTTAATATCCCGTATTCACCCCTAAAATTTCAAACCGAAACTCCCCTTCTTACAAAAGTCTTTTCTAAGGTCATTGTAGTCTGTCAGCTGTAAAAGTTAAAGTAACGAATATGCCCACTACTTGTATCACCGCTTCAACTATATATCATACTTGCTTTAATAATGTTACATATAAATGCCGAAATTAAAAAAAATATCAAATAATTGCGAAGAAACTTATTCCAGATTCCAAGATAGTCGGTGTCTAGGATAAAGAGGTGTTTCAAAACAGAACAGGACCACATAATTGTTACTGAAGGAAACAAAAACCTTGTCATTACCATCCCCTTCGTTACGTCACAACATATAATGGAATTTTTGAGAAATTCTCAAAACATTCTAGGGAGATTAATACTTTGTGAAAAAAGTCTGCTTTAGGAATATCTGTGAGCCTCATCGTAGGCATACATTTTGATTAGATAAGAACCCATACAGTATCATCCTAAGATATTTCTCAAATACCATTCAAACAGCACTTGAATAAATTATAGCCCACATGCTGTTTATAAAATTCTTAATAATACCTCTTCAGTTCCTCCTCCTTTTTAGGTGCTTAAAATACTGGTTTCGAAACTCATTACATAACACATTAATGTATGTTTCGATCAATAAAATCTAGAAACTGCACATAAAATTTTTAAATATTACGTTATTATGTGAAAATGTTGTAGTACATTGATTTTTTATTAAAAAAAATTTCATTTAAAAATAACATAGTTGCAAATACTTTACGAAGTGAAAAAAAATTCTCTTGCGCATAATTTACACAGTTACCATGTTTATTGCAATCTTATTTTACATTATAGGGCATTCTTCATATCATGCAAAATGGGTGATAGAAACCACGAAAAAGTGTTGGTAGAAAATATGACTTAATAACTTCTGTAGTCTTCTTCTTCTCCAGGTTTCAACGATAGATGGCAGTAGTAGTGCTATGCAACTTGAATTGATGGACAGCAGGTGAATGTGTTTCAAATGTCGTGACTTGGAAGTTTATGTAAGGAATTTTTTAAAAAATTTTTTGAGAACAGAAAATAAGTGGAAATTTATAATTAAATGATTGATAATGAAATAGTCCACAAACGTATGGAGAACATAAAATAAGGCGTGCATTATCAATCATGTAAACTGCGATATTTTTATAGCAAACGAAAATATCCTTTTTCCCTCCGCAAAATAATGAGATGCATTTCGAAAATAGCCTTCAAAATGCATATGCTCCTTCTTAAAAGAGAAGGCAGTCGGAGTCTATATGGTTTATCAGAATGCTTAATATAGAAATCAATTTAAGGAAATAAATTTTTGAATAAATAATTTTTAATGAAATCGTTTTAAAGCAAGTAAATATCAATATCAATATCATGCTTGGTTAATCCACAATTTTTACTTATGGAAAAGAAAAGCAATCTCATTAATGCGCACGATTAATTGTTGGAAATGCAGGTAATTCGTGGCAATTTGAAGTCCAATAAACATCGAAAGTCGATTTAGCTCAAATCCTTCACGAAATTCTCACACCTTTTATTTTAGAATTTGATTTTCGATAACAGAAATTCATAACAGCTCGCAGTTTTTGCCGGTCTGTCGAATTTAATTTATCAAGAATTCGCTGTTGATACGAATCATTCTTTTATTCACACAGAGAACAAATAAGTTAGTTTTAGTTCGAAGTTCTGATTAATCATTGTATCATATATAAATGCATATATAAGAAATCTCTGATATATCACTGTTTATAAAGGTAGAATTCCAATGAATGTTGCAAAATATTACGATGGTTTTCTTTACATATAAATGATATTAAATAATCTATTTTTGCATTTTATTAGACATAATTTTCCAAGCCGCTTCTTTTAAATGATTTGATAAACTGGTATCATAGATTTTTTTAGCAATAAATATTAATCAAATAATTTATGTAATTAATATCGCGCCAAACTTCTTTGGTAGAATATTTCAAGTAATAAATAACAGTCTGAATAAGTTTCATAGAAATTCTCAAGGAAAGTTAGATTTTTGAATAGTATGCTTTCAGTGAGAAATGAATTAAAAGTGAGATTTAAAGAACTATTAACCTAAACATGGAAATTCAGCTGTTCCTTAAAAGTTTTAAAATGTCCTTTCCCATGAGATTTCTATTCTTTCTAGTCGACTTAAAACTTTAACCTAAATTGGATAACTGTCACTTTCTTTTTTAGGATTTTGCACAAACTCAATATTCATAACTAACAGACCAAAATTAAAAGAGATGTAAATTGAGTAAGTGTTTTAAACAATTTAATTCTATGCAGTTCTCCCAAAAGACAATTATATAATAAAAGAATTTAAATTTCTTGTTTTAATTTAATTTACGAATGGAAAGAAAGATTTATGAGCATTTTTAATTCATTTAACAAAAGCAATTTCAAACTATTTTCTTATCTCATCATAAGGGAATTCAATCAATTAAGATTTTGAATGACTTATTTTAATTTAACATTCTAAATGCTTTTGTAACCTTCAGTTACATTTAAAACCTTTTAATTTCAAGTCATAATGTTAGAAGTGAGAGCTGTAACTGTAATCATTAAGACACCTGAAATCTTTTTTATAGCATTTTCGAAAGAAAAAATTCAATTGAGAAATTTAGAGATCACACATCGAAGAATTAGTAATTCTTTCTAGAGTCATACAGATTTTCTTTTAAAAAGTGCGAAAGATGTTGAAATTTCGGCTTAGTTTAAAATCATTATGTAATACTGGCATAGTTAAATTAACTAAAATGCAATTAAAGCATAAAATATGGTATGGTTGAAAGACATATTCAGACCGTTAAACGAATGCGAGAAAAAGTGGAACAACGGTGACTCAAATTTAGTTTTAGTAGCTATCGAAACTGTCTTATTTAATTTGAAATTATGTAATTTTTAGATTTAATGTTTGAAAGAAAGATGATATATATGTAAGAAACTTATCTTTAAGGGTTTTCCAATCTAACTCAACATATTCTCTTAAATAAAATGACAAGACCTCGCTTCTCAAGCATTCAGAAACCACCAAGGGCCTGTCTGTGTCAGCAATGCTTTCCCGATTATGGCATTTTAAACCTGATCAAGACTTTTAAAGCTAATTATGACAATTTATTTTTCCTGATTTTGCCCTTTCCCAGTCTTACTCCTTTCCTATCCTGCCTTTCCTTCTTTCCCGAGTTTTTATATTCAAAATTTGTTGTATACCTATCCCATAGCTCAGAAGATGAGGAGAGGTAAAGCTCTAACACACCATTTTGAAAATCTGGATTTAATACCAGATTCTCATTCAAAGACGACAAATTTTTATTCTTTTTAAGACAAGAGGTTTTGCACTATGTGTTTACTCCTTGCATTCTCTCTTTAGGGAGGATACAAGAAGCAATAGCACACGCCCACTGTCCCCCTAGGAACACTTCTAACCACCTGTGATAAGGTTACATAAAGGAGAAAAAACTGAAGATTAATATGGGCAAGGATGTCTCGAGAGCATAAGATGAATATTATTATTATTTAACTTCCGAATACGTTTTAATAGTTGTTAAGTTGAATTAATTGTTTTAAAAATAATATTAATATGTGTGCATTGTTTCAAATGTAGGCTCGAGAGCCACGTAAATTGTAGAGATATTGGAATTTGCTTGGAAAAAAAAAAGATTATTTTTTCTCTTGTTCATTGTATGCGGCCAATTTTTCGGGCGTTCAATAAAATTTTCATGCGGTTTTCCATCATTAGAGTTTTCATTGGAGTTCAACACCACACCATTGAAGCATTAACACTACACTACACACCCTAAAACTTTCTTATTTTGTTTGTTAGGAGATTCAACTATGGCTATGAAACTGACTTGGGCTTTCTATTTTCTTTACCAGTCACGATCCTCTGAGCATAGCTTAGCACAGAAGTGCTACCATATACACACACACAAACACATACATTTTATATAAATTTAAAGCAATTTTTTTTCTTCTTATTGTAAGAAAAGTTTTCCCTTTCTTTTTTCTTATTGTAGGGTAATATTTAATTATATTTTTGCGTTATTAAATAAATTTTAGTCTTCATTTTGTATAGTTTTGTATTGTTATTAATTAATATGAACGATTTTTGAAAGAAAAACAGAAAAACTTGGACAATTGTACAATGCCAAAAACCAGTTACTTTTTTGTAAGGAACGGAGGTTGTTTGATATATTGTACTTAAGTGTCCCCCAACCATCAGCAAGCTGCTACGCTGATTTTGTTGAAGAGGAAATGTCAAATAATCGTCAAAGTATTATTGTATTATTTAATATTACATTATATTATTATGTTTTATCTTGAATTTTTCTATTTTATTAAATATGTGTATCCACAATAACAATTTATTCTATTAATTATAAACTGAGTATTATATTTCCATATCAAAGTTCGCAGATTAATCTGTATTATAATACAGATATTTTCGCCAACAAAAATTTGAAAGACTTTATTGAACATTTACTTTGTGAAATAATTTGAATATTTACTTTGTAAAACTATTTTCGTCAAGAGACTATAAAAAATTGACGTTGGACATTCAAACAACTCGAGGACTTTATATTTGTGTTAATTTGTTATTTAGTTTTATTTAGAAGTTATATATTTAGATTGTTATAATAGTTGTCAATTACATTTTTAAGTATTTCGTAATCTGTATATGAAAAACGTCATGAACAATGGCGGAGCACAGGAAAACCTACAGGCTATATCCTTTATGCTTCCTCATGTCTTTCCTCATATGATAAATTTCCTCTGCTTCGCTAATATTGATACCTTTTCTCTCAACATGCTCTCCCAACCTTTCTTTTGAAGGGAGGAATATGTAAGATATAACATAATACGATTGGAGACCTCAAAATTAACTATTGATTGTGGTGTTCTCCGCCCCCTAAATTCATTTTTTCTCCCAAATTCGAGATCCTTCCATGTTACATAACGCTGCTTGAAAAAGGTAACTAAAACTAAAATTGGCCAATCACATCTTCGAGTACTTTCTGCATCTACTAGGTATAAATAATCTTTGAAAAACAACTGCGTCATTTCTTTCCCTAGCTTCTACCCTCCAAACAACTCTGTGCCGCTTATGCTGCCCTGTCCAAAATGCTTACGTCTAAATGGATATGTGCGAAAATAAAAATTGGTGATTTGTCAAAATCCAGTTTTGCTATCTTCATCTGTATGCCTTAACCATCAGCCATAACGGATATTGAAAGCTGCTAAAAAGTACCGGATTCCTCCTACGCATCGAAAATACTATATATATATATATATACTTACTCTGTTACCCCGAATCAGTGAGCTCAACTTTTTTATTCCTATATGTTGCTAAGTTATGCAGTTTCTGCTTCAAAAGTGATTGAACTATTATTTTCTTATGTTCCGATTAATGTTTTTATATCTTTAGTTAATCTGCATGCAATAGCTGCAGAAGTATCAACAATTTAAAAGATTAAGGAGTGCTAACCCTATAAGGCCGCTATTTGCTTGTATTTGAAATTTAGCAGAATAGTGAATTAAGTCAGTTTGTGCACCAATTCCAGTGTATTTTTGCCGAGTGGAACCAAAAGCAAACTTTCAGTTTTGTGCACCGATAAATTTATCTTCTAACCCGTTGCCCGAATTACTTGTTTTTGCATAGAATCTCTAAAAATTTTTTTAAACTCTTTTTAAGTGTATTTGGATTTTATATTTTGCTGCATTTTACAAGTTTTAATGAAGTTGCTTTGGGATTTTATGTATTTTTGCCTTGTCGCGAAGTAAGAACTAATTAATTGAACGAGAAATATATCTCTAATGAAATTCGAAGAAATAAGTTTAAATGAAATGCAACAAAAAAATGTATATAATGTGTATAATTTACTTAGCTGTGCAAGGTCACGTGGCATCCACAACAGATATTTTAATTTAAATCTTCAACCCATGTGGGTATTAACCGCTCCCTATTTACTAATCCAGCGAATATGATTTTAAATGTGTATCGCATAACTTTGAAATTGCATAAAAATAGATTTGGCTTAAAAGGTTGGAAAATTGTCAGTTATATACAATAAGACCCTCAACTTATGTAGTGCGCGACTTACATAATTTCACAGTTATATGAATGTGAAAAAGCCGTATCACTTAAAACTGAAACCTAATAGTTAGAAATAAGAATATTCTCTGTCTAAAAAACATGGAAACGTAGATGAAAAGTTGAAAATAATTCATTAATATAAAATGAGAAAATTATATCAACAATAATTTGAGATATAGATCTATTTTCACAGTGAATGAGATAATAAAGGATGAAGTTCGCAATGTTATGTAGGGTTATTATGATTTTATATAATCAGTAATTTATAAAATGATTATATAAAATCATAATTACCCTACATTATGTAGGCTTTGCTGTCGCTTCTTTCCGTTTCCTCATCAGCATTTAAGTAAGTTTTAGAGTATTGAAGACGAGGGATTTGGATTGTAAGACCGAGCGTGTTTCTGCGTCTGAAGGCCACATTACTAAGTTTCTTTAAGCTTTGCGTTACTGCTAATTGGTACTCCTGTGAGAAGTTTTGAGCTAACTTTGCGTTAAATCAATTGTTTTTGGCATTTATCAACATTTTGCTTTTTACCGTCCAATTTACGAAAACAAGTTAAAAATAATGTGAAAATAAATCTGAATAAATGCATATGTATTTTTTGAGTTTTAGAAAGGATCGAGAGGAATGATTTTCTAGCACTGGCAAAGTATGAGGCGAAACAGGTTGACGACCGTTAGTCTAGTTGGTTGACTTTTTTTAGAAATTAATTTTAGTTTTACGCTCTACCTTTAGCTTTAACCCAACAAGAGAGAATACATCAAGTTTCATTGAATCTTAAATTTGTATTTGTGTACAAATTGGCTGTAGTGAGAACGATTATTTCGCTGAACGTGAATGAGTAATTGTGCATGAAGAACCATTAAGCAATCATACTTTAGTAAAATAGTTCCGTAGTAGATTATAAAATTTAACTTCGATTAACTGACGTCACGGGGTTACAACAGTTGCTAGTTCAATAAATCATACACGTTTCCTCAAAACAAGAACATGTTTTAAGGATTTTCGTCCAAAATAAGATAAAATTTGGGTTGTTTAAATTATAGTTAGAAAGATTTAAAAATTGAGTCAAAATAATGGAATATAAAAATGGAGAGTAATACTCCGAGGGAGTTAAATTAACATTTCAGAAAGAATTTTGATTTAAAGAATGCAAAATGTTTTATATATTAATGCATTATTTTCTGATTTAGAAATTATTGAATGAAATGAAAATATTTCCACCCCTCATTCTCTATTGAATTATATTTTTTTCATAATTCTGCTCAGTTTCTCATTCCATTTTGAAAACGTTTTTATACTATATTGCATGAGTATGATAAAAGTAAGATCTTTTTTATGAATCTAATAGCTATCATTTCTTTTCATTAATAAAATTTAATAAGTTCTTAGAAGCAACAAATTTAAAGTGCAATACAATTACTAAGCAATAATGGATAAATTTTCTTAATTAAATTACAAAATGTATAATTTACGAAACTTATTTTTGTAATTTTCTCTAGAGTTTTAATGAAACCGAAGGATTCAAATAAATTTTTCTTAATTAAAATGGTTTCTACTTATCTAGATACTTGAATTAATGCTCCTAAATCATTTGAAACGTCCAAGACGCTTATGTGTCCAACAAGAAAAAGCTGTTTCATTAACATTCTATCATTCCATCGATTATTTATACTTCCTTTAGTTTTGCTATTCTTAATTATTTATTTATACTTCCTTTGTTTTGCTATTCTTAATTATTTCGGAAATGAATTATTTTTGATGGAATTCTCGGTAGTCACTCTGATATCATATTGCGCTACAAAATAGCTAAATGTTCAGCTTGAATTGTTTGGTAGAATGGCGTTTCTGAGTTTTGGGAATGCAGGATGAATTCCTTTAATTTCACGCTTTTGCAGTTTGTAAATTCTAAGCAAAAGAAAAAGAGTCATTTAAGGCTTTTATATTACAACTAATGTGCTAAGCGCATAATATCAACATTAATAATTATGCATTCTAGTTTTGCTGCTTAAGTTAAGTTCCGCTATCAAAATTCCAAATAATTCTCAATCGCATTCTAGAAGAGTGAATTTTGATTAAACACAGATAATCTTATCGAACAGTACGCTCTTTAGTAAAAATTTGTATTGTTATTCCCCTCACTTTCATTATCTTTCTATATAGATTAGCAGTTGTATCTGAAAGGGGAAAATACAATAAACATTACATTAAATTTATAATCTTTTTATTCTGATATATGTCATCATGTAAACCCTTGTGTTTAACCTTCGATTCGTTTATATTTAACGGGGCAGCTGTTAAACTATATTTTGGAGAATAATTCTTTTTCATTCCTCGAACAATATTTGCCAATAAATCGTGTACGCAATCCTAAGTTTGAAACTAATAGTTTGGCATTAAAATCTACGCCTTCGTTCATTTATTTTATAAAATAAGTAATGATTACAAATCTGGCATAAATGTCACCATTTTTTTGCTTCATTAAAAAAAATGAAAGAGGCAATAGTTATCTAGAGGATTTTTTCGAACATAGGACAGGACATAATTTTAGTTCGAAAAAGCTGCAGTTTAAAACTATTATATTTCCCTAAAATAATGTTACGAATTTT